AGCTGCAAATGTTTGTCCAACTGAACCTAATGCAATCAAATAACTAAACGACCTCGATCGTTCTTCCATTGGTACATAATTACTAAATATATGAAATATCGTTGGTAATGCTAAAGAAAAAACAGAATTTATTAATCTGAATTTTTGAATTTTTAAATTTCTACCTAAACCTTCACCAAACCCTAAGGCTATTCTCGAACATATAAGTAAAAATGGTAAAGGTGCTAAGAATGGTGTCGCAAATGTTACTAATGACCATGTGAATACTGCTAAAGCAAGAACAGCTTTGGTGCCAAAACGTCTTACAAATATATGAGCAAATAATTGACTTGTTAAATAGCCTATAGGAAATGATGATAGGATATAACCTTGTAAACGTAAATTCCAATTGAATTCTTTTGCCATGCGAATAATGGCAACTAGAATAAATAAATTAATTTGAAAATATATGCTTTTAGAAAAACTTAATCTACTTGGCATAATTGCTCGATCAGCAGCATTGATAAAATTTGCTATTGAACAAAGAGTAACAGTACGAGATTTTCCGAACGACATTTATTTAAAAAAATTCTATTTCGTTTTTTATTTCCATTTTATATTTGAAATAATTCTATTGGTTAATTTTTAATTCCAAAACATAATTTTATTTCGTTAGATGTCGTATTAAAAAAAGAAATATTATTCTGGAATTTTCTTTTATTTAATAAATAAATTTTAAGTTGAAAAAAAGAAATATTTATTTTTCTATTATATTTCATAAAGAAAAAAATATTTTTTATTCGACTGTCCTCCTTCATTATATTTCAATGAGGTGATTTGGACTGGTAAACTAACAATAAAAATGGATTCTAAATTATATGCAATGCAATACAAAACGACAAACACTATTGTTTTGTTATTTGTCTTAAAAACTTTTTTATCTAATAATTTTTAGATCAATTTTATAATACCTTTTTAAGAAAAACAATGGGTATTAGCCGAGACCATTGGCATAAACGCCGGAAGACTGGTGGTAAACGACCTCAACCACATAAGAAACGAAAATTTGAATTAGGTCGACCAGCTGCTATGACCAAATTAGGTGCAAAACGTATTCATACCGTACGTACACGAGGTGGAAATAAAAAATATCGTGCACTCCGTCTTGATATTGGCAATTTCTCATGGGGTTCCGAAGGTGTTGCCAAAAAAACTCGTATTATCGATGTTATGTATCATCCATCGAATAATGTTCGTATATTTTGCATTTTTTTCAATACAAAAAGAAAATATTCATATATTTATTTAGGAATTAGTACGTACAAAAACATTAACAAAATCAACTATCGTACAGATAGATGCTGTTCCATTTCGACAATGGTATGAATCACATTATGCTTTACCACTTGGTCGTAAGAAAGGTGTTAAATTAACTGAAGCTGAAGAAACTACACTTAATCGTAAACGTTCAGCTAAATCACAAAAAAAGATCGCTGTTAAACAACGTCGTGCTAAAGTTGAACAAGGACTTGAAGAACAATTCGTAGCTGGTCGTGTACTTGCTTGTATTGCTTCAAAACCTGGTCAAAATGGTCGATGTGATGGATATGTTCTTGAAGGAAAAGAACTTGATTTTTACATGAAGAAAATTAAACAAAAAAAATCGAAATAAACAGGAAAAAAAATGTTTAAAGCAAATAGAAAAAAAATTGTTTCTTTTTGTGTCTTGTATTACCATCATTTTATTGTTACAGAAAAAAAAACACTGAACATATACAAGAAGAACGTTTTGAATAAATAAAGAAAACAACGTAAAACAAAACTGAAAAAACTGAATTTATGTTTTTGTTTTCTAGATAGGAAATAAATAATGACTGGTTCAGAATCAGTTGAACAAACTAAACAAGAAGAAGGAAAGAAAGGTGATGGAAAAAAACCAATTGAAGTTAAAGAAGAAGATCTAGTATGTTGTCAAAATATCTATTTATGAAAAAAAAACATTTTCTCTTTTTAGTCGGAAGAAGATAAACAATTAAAAGAAGAACTCGAATTATGCGTTGAACGCTTAAAAGTAAATTTCGAATTAAATTTGAAAATATATTTATATATTATTTTATTTCAAAGGAGAATGATAAGAATTTATATCGACCAGCACTTGAAACACTTCGACAAAAAATTCGTGAATCAACAAGCTCAATGACAAGTGTACCAAAACCATTAAAATTTATGAGACCTTTTTATAATGATATGATTGCAGTTTATGAAAAAATTCAAGATGTTCACAATAAAGTATTAAATTTAAAAAAGAATATTTTTATCAATATATATATATATTTGTATATTTTCTTAGGCTTTATGTGCTGATATCATTTCAGTACTTGCTATGACAACAATTGATACAAAAGAAGTACTTAAATATCGTTTATTAGGTTCACATCAAGATATGGGCATGTGGGGACATGAATATATCAGGTATAAACTTAATTAGTGCGAATGTTTCATGTAATCACTATATTATAACAGATAAAATACTTTCTATGCGTTATTCTAAATAGTTGTGTTAAAGTTCATACAATACTAAGGCAGATTTAGAATAAAAATCTTATCTTAATTATTTAGACATTTATCAGCAGAAATAGCTACGGAATGGGAAGCAACCGAAACAAATGCTGAACTTCGTCAACGTCTCCTTGAATTAACAAATGAAATAATACCATTTTTAATGCGTCATAATGCTGAAGCTGATGCATGTGATCTTTTAATGGAAATAGAACAATTAGATTTAATTGAAACATTTGTTGATAAAGATACTTTTGCACGTGTTTGTCTTTATTTAACTAGGTAAAAAAACAAAACAAACAAATTATTTATCTATATCTAAATTATTTTTCAATTTTTAGTTGTGTACCTTATGTACCTGAACCAGATGATACAAAATTATTACGTACAGCATGTAAACTTTATCGTCATTATGACCAATATCCATTAGCATTACGTTGTGCTATACAATTAAATGATATGGATCTTATACGTGATTTAGTGAATACATGTCCATCAAGGTAATAGAAATAAATATTATGTATATATGAATAGATGTATATGTTTTTTTTTGTATTTTAGTTTAGTTAAAAAACAACTTGCATTTTTATTAGGACGACAACAAATTATTTGGAATGTTACTGAAACTAGTGGTGAAGATCCAGATGAATTAACAAATATAATGTCTAATTCACATTTAACATCAAATTTTTTGGCATTAGCTCGTGAACTTGATATAATGGAAGCGAAATTACCTGAAGATATTTATAAAACATATTTAGATAATACAAATCGTTCAAGTTATAGTCAACCTGATTCAAGTAAACAAAATTTAGCATCAGCATTTGTCAATGGATTTGTTAATGCTGCATTTGGACAAGATAAAATTGTTACACAAGATACAAAATGGTTATCAAAATATAAAGATAATGGTTTATTAAGTGCAACTGCCTCACTTGGCCTCATCGTTCTTTGGGATGTTGATGGTGGTCTTAGTTTAATTGATAAATATCTTTATAGTGTTGATGATAACATGAAGGTTAGTTCAATATTAAAATTTTTTCTTTTGAAATTGAGTATTTACTAATATTCATAACAGAATCGTTGAATCTCATATTTCCCCTCAGTGTTTGACTCATCTTCCTACCTATTCTAGTCTGCTCATCATATTATTCTTATAAAAGGAGACAAATCTTGAATCGATATAAAGCAATAAACTTTTAAGTTTTCGAAAGATTTGAAAATTAAATTTATATTTATCTTAGGCTGGTGCTCTTCTTGCTTGTGGTATAGTCAATTGTGGTGTCCAAAATGACTGTGATCCAGCATTAGCTCTTCTTGGTGATTATGTTTCACATAAAGATGCACCATTCCGTGTTGGTTCCATTGTTGGGTATGATTTCATCATTTTACTCTGAAAAATATCTTATTAGATTATTTTAGTTTGGGTCTTGCATATGCCGGTACAAATCGTGATGATGTCATTGAACTTATTAGTAATGCATTACGTGAAGGAAATCCATCAATGGAAGTAAGAATAACTAAAAACTTTTCTTTATTTTATTTTAATTAATTAATTTTTTTCTTTTAGATTATTTCACTCGCATGTCTTTCAATCGGTATAATTGCTGTTGGTTCATGTAATGCTGATGTATCAACAACATTATTAAGTGTTTTACTTGAACGAAGTGAAATTGAACTTAAAGAACATTTTGCTAAATTCATTGCATTGGCTATTGGTTTACTTTTTCTTAGTATGATATATAATTGAATATAAAAAATATATTGATGTTATAAATTTGAAATTTTCTAATAGGCAAAGGTGAAGCTGTTGAACCCATGCTTGAATCTCTTAAAGTAATTAATGAACCATTACGTTCATTTGCTACTGTTCTTGTTGAATGTTGTGCATATGCTGGTACAGGAAATGTTTTAAAAATTCAACATATGTTACATATATGTAGTGAACATTTTGAAAATAAAGATGAGAAAAAGGTAATATTTAAATGATTGTTATTATTTGAATATTCAATCTTTTGTTTTTGTATTATTTTAGGAAGGTGAAAAAGAATCATCCAAAGATAAAGATAAAGATAAAAAGAAAGAAGATGATACTGCTTCACAAAATGCTGCACATCAAGGTTTGATACAATATATATAGAATTTTGTTTAATATAAATGAAATTTGCCTTTTTTTAGCCGCAGCTGTACTTGGTATTGCAATGATTGCTATGGGAGAAGAAATTGGTTCGGAAATGGCATTACGTTCATTCGGACATTTAGTAATAAATTTATTTATCTTTTTAATAATTATTTGTTTTTGCTTTCTATAGTTACGTTATGGTGAACCAGTTATTAAACGAGCTGTACCACTTGCACTTGCTTTATTATCTGTATCAAATCCGAAATTAAATATAATTGATACTTTAAGTAAATTTTCTCATGATGCAGATCATGAAGTTTCATATAATTCAATTTTTGCAATGGGTATTGTTGGTGCTGGTATGTTAAAAGATAAATAAAATATATATTTATTTATTTTTTTGAATTTATATCATTTAAGGTACAAATAATGCACGTTTAGCTGCTATGCTTCGACAATTAGCTGTCTATCATGGAAAAGATATGAATAATTTATTTATGGTTCGTCTTGCACAAGGTCTTACACATCTTGGCAAAGGTACAATGACACTTAATCCATATCATAGTGATCGTATGCTTCTTTGTCGTGTATCATTGGCTGGTTTACTTACTGTACTTGTTTCATTCTTCGATGTCAAACAAAGTAAATTATATATAAATCTATATATATTTATATATCTTTTGTTTTTAATATTTTTAGCAATTGTTGGTAAATATCATTATTTACTTTATTTTCTTGCTTTGGCTATTCAACCACGTATGCTTGTTACATTTGATGAAACACTTCGACCATTACCAGTACCTGTTCGTGTTGGACAAGTAAGTTTAATTTTAAATTAAAATCATATTAGAAACAAAAATGAAATTTTTCTTATTTAGGCTGTTGATGTTGTTGGTCAAGCTGGTAAACCAAAAACTATAACTGGTTTTCAAACACATACAACACCAGTTTTATTAGCATATGGTGAACGTGCTGAATTAGCAACAGAAGAATATATAACATTAACACCTGTATTAGAAGGTTTTGTTATCTTACAAAAAAATCCTAATTATGTACCATGATCTTCTTCTTCTTCTTTTTCTTTTTTTTTCTTTTCTCAAAATTTTTCGTCTTACTATATAATCGAGAGGCCATTGTTTATTGAAAAAAAAATTGGTCTTTCTGCTTTGTTGTCATCTGTTCTCTATTTTACTGTTTTTTTTTCATTTTCTTTCGGTTTTTTTTTATAGTTGAAAATATATGATCAAATCATGCGATCGACAACAGTCAAATTGTATATCATAGTCTCGTTTTATATCTAAATGTAAAGATATTCGATTTGAGATAAGAAGGATATATCGAAAAATTTTACTTGTTGTGTAAATGATTTGAATTACTTAAATCTGACTAAAAGTTCGAAGAACATTAAATAAAAATATAAAAGAAAACATTTTTAATTTTATTTTATCAAATACTGACGATCAGTATGAAGTCAACGATGCTCGTCAAGCAATTCTATCCATTTTGAACCTGATGTCTCTGTTTGCTTTTATATTTAATAAGTCAAATTAAAGTTTTGGTGAAAATCTCACTCTATGAACGCTAGCTAGCATCAGGAGACTCATGAATAAGCGATCAAAAATAAATCGATAACCCATGATTAGCTCATGCAATAACCAAGGTACCAAAATCGTTTTTTCGAAAAAGAGGTCAAAAATATATATTAAAAGTATTTCTTTATCTTTATACTTTTATTTTTGACGTTCTTACGAGGGAACTTCACCAACTAATACCCTCTGTTTGAGCTCATATTCTGCTCGTAAGTAGGGTTCATAGTGTAGATAAAAACTCTAAAAGGATTCGTCCCATTCGCTTGTTCCTGTCGAGATATAGAAATTTTAGTGAATTTCCCTTATATGACCCCATTTTTCGAGTCAAATCATATTTTGGAATTTCGACCTGAGACTTTGCTCAAATGAAGGTCTCAACTGGACTAGTTTTCAAAAATAATTTCAGAAGTTTTGGCCGAAGTCTCTCCGAGTTATGAATTTCTCAACTTATAAGCGTTTTTCTATAGATACTATATAAAACATGTATCTTTTGAAAATTCATAACTCGGAGAGACTTTATCCAAAACTTCTGAATTTTTTTTTGAAAGCTAGTCTAGTTGGGATCAAAATTTAAAAATACGATTTGACCCGAAAAATGGGGTTCTATGAGGGAAATTCAGTGAAATTTTTATATCTCGACAGGAACAAGCGAATGGGACGAATCCTTTGAGGACTTTTATCTATATATGAGCTCTACCTACGAGCAGAATATGAGCTCAAACAGAGGGTATCAGCTGATGAAGTTCCCTCGTAAGTATTTAATAGCGCGAAAAAGATTTAAAAAAGAAAGATCAAGAAAAGTTCATCATAGGAATCGATTGTTCATTCATAAATATTCTGTCAAAAAACTGACAATTAAATATTCATGATCGATATTCATCAAAATTCTACAATAATTTATTGATCATGTTATTTTCTTTTTTGTTGAGATAGTGACAAATGAGGTCAAATTAGTCTGCACACAAATCAGTTGCACGTAATGTGAATAACTATATATTCAAGGATTTATCATAGAAGAAGAAAAGAATATATTTCATATAGATTTATGTAAGAAATCGATTTACAATGGGTTTATAATATCTTTTATTAGAAAATATTTTATTCTTTTAAAATAGAATATCATTGTCCCTTGTTGTCTGACATTCTATTTTTAATACAAGATGCATAAAATAAAAACTTTTACGATGCTTTATTAATAGCCGATTTTATTAATAGGTACACTTTGTTTTCTTTGAATAATCTAATTGAGAAATCATGCATTTATTCTTATGTTTATCTGCCGAGAAAGTCAGAGCTTATTTGTTTTTTGTCATTAGGATTCTATATGGATCTATATTATTTGTAAAAATATATGTCTTAGTAGATCGTACATGTTCTTATAATTGAATGCTTCTAATTAGATGAATTTAATATGCTGAAAAATAAGTCAAGCATATTTGTTCTAAGAATTTTCAAAAAAAAAGTCATGATAACGGTCTAATTACAAAATAAGAAAGCGTATATCAGTCATTTGATAGTAAAAGTTAGAAATTTTTGTCATATTTAGATTTGTTCTATGAGATTAATAGTAGTGTTCTGTAACGTAAAGCTATAATCATCTCTCCAGGTACTTTCTCGTACTTCCGTTATCTTATTACATAAGAATTAGGTTAATTATTAATGAAGTATACTAGATCATTAAAGTAATATAGTGTTGTAAACAAATATTAATCTATTGAAAATTAGCAAGTAGTATTAATTCAACGGTTTGATCCAAAGAGACAAAATTCTATTTACTTATAAATTATTATGAAAGTAATCATACCAATGTGAAAATAAATCTGATAATATATGTTCTACCCAATAAACTTTTTATTTGATGTTAATGGATACAAAACACCATGTCAGAAAGAAATCTTCAGTTTGTTATAAAGACCTGGATATTTACATTAGTAAAAAAAACTAATAGAAAAACGAGAATAAAACAAAACGAATCGAGGTCGTTTGTGCTCATAAAAACAAGTGAGAAATATTATTTATTTTACTAGTAATATTATCAAATGTCGGACCATGTATGTTATTAATATTGATTATCTTGTTAAATTCACAATATTTATCAAAAATTAATGTTTTTATTTCATAAAAGAATAACTAAAAATGCAAGAAAAGTTTTGCGTATATATAATTATAAATATTTAACCACATATTGTCTTGAACTCGTTGTCTAGAAAGCGGATTTAATTATTATATCCGCAAATTTCAACTCATCAATCATAGCAGTTAGATCATGACTTGCAAGAATTATAACTCATTCAAATCATGAAACAACCAGGTCTTGCTTATAAAGAATAAGGATATCTCAACCTTAGGAAATATATTACACTATAATTTGTTAATGAACTTCTTTTAAGGTGATTACGCATCCATAAATACATCTCGTAGATACAAATGATAATTATAATCATTCATTATTCAAAGGTCAAAATCAATGTTGAATAAAAATCATGAATGACATAAATTATATTTAACAAAAACATTAATTTTTCTTTTATTGTCATTGTATTATTTAGCACCTTTAGTTTGTTTTTTTGCGTCTAGCAAAATATATATATATACAAAAAAATAATTTTATTGTTCACCTTCATTATGATTATTAAAATCTCGTATTTGTGGTCGTCGATAACATTGACAATGAAAAATATATTTCTGTTTTATTTGATATCTTCTTCGTCTTGATAAAGTTTTTCTTCGTTGAATTTTCATACATTTTATTCCAATTAATTGATTAATGAATAAATGTATACGTTTATCAAATATAAGATATGGTAAAAATTTAATAGATAAACAAAATAAATGTGCTGTATGTTGTAATATTTGTAAAAAAAATGCTTGATCGTCTGTTAAAAATGTTTGTTCACGATATACGGAATACATTGTTGAATATTTACTTATCATAATTGGTAAATAGAATATAACAGAAATAATACTAATTGAAATAATAATTAATGATACATCATGATGTCTTTGTTTATTTGTTAATATTATTTCATTTGTTAAATTTAATATATCAGATAATTCTAATGTCATTGATAAAGTATTTTGTTCATGATTAATAATATTATTATTATGAACTAATAATGAAGTAAATGAAAGTGGTTTGGGCATTGATGACGATGTATTCAATTCTGTTTGAGTACAAAATGAAGATTTTTTACAACAAATTAAATTGATTAAATATATTATTAAAACAACGATCCAACCAATATAAACAAGTATGTCAGTAACTTCAGCAAAAATATGATTTATATGTTGTACAGTTGCAACTATTGGGGGTGTATTCATATCAATAGTACAAAAACGCATTTTGGGTACATTTGGATCAAGTATAATTAATTCAACAGATGTGGAACCAAGTACACTTCGTATAATAACAAATGCCAAAACAAATACAACTGATAAAGGTCCACCTATTTGACCTAATACCGTATCATATCGACGTACATAATTTGTTATAAAATGTATAAGACAAATAAAAAGTAATAGAGTTGATCCCGTAAATGTAAACGGTGTTAAAAAAAATGATAATGGACATAAGATTTCATGATTTATTATATTAATATATTGATCAACGGTTAAGACAATACTTACATAAACAGTACAATATAAAAAATCACATATTGTCATTAATATTAATAAAAAATATGTTGCACATTGACGACGGCCAATAAGTAAAAGTATAATTATTAAAAAGAAATTAAATAAAAGACCCGTACATGATAGAATAAAATTAATAGATCGCATATATTTAATAAATGAATCATAGTTTTCCGATGATGTATCTATTGCAGTTATATTCATTTCTATCTAAAAGAACAAAAAAAAACAAGCGTTATTTTCTTATAATTATTAAGCTTCGGTTTATAAATATAAATGATTACCTAAAGATAATGATAAATGTTATTTTCCTCGTCTCTAATGCAATAAAACCTTATTCATAACGATTCAGTAAGCAAAATGGATAAACTAATTTTATGAGAGATAAACAGAATATTCTGAGTATGAGGAAAAACAGGAAATGCAAGAACTCTAGTATATTCAACGCAAAACGCTTTTTATTAATTATTATAGTATATACAAAAAGAACTATTCATATGATAATCAATCGTACGTGCTGTGTGGGTAAATAATTAAAAATCTATACAGTTTTATTTCTGAATACATTATCACTTTTTCGTTTACTACAGAGAATAATAATTTTAGATCAATTGTTTTTCTCTTTTTCGAGATATATATGAAAATATCATCAATAAACAAATTGAGAACATTTACTTATCTATATGAATGATTGATTTTAACTATTCTTTCCTTCTAGAAATACTACTTCAGCGATGTCAATAACTCAATAGAGAAACTTGAGTTATCTTTATTATATTAGGAGAATATAGACAAACTACTAGAATACATATAGACACATAAATATAATAACTATGATCTCTTTAGTGCATAAATATCTACTTATCTGCTCAGTTCTCTCACCTTTGAAAGCATTAATCTATGACAAGAAATAAGTAATCATTAAATAAATATATATATATATCGTGAATCATAAAAAATTTATTTTCTATAATGGCTCAAAGAAAAAATACCGATCAGAAATGAATTTAAGTATTGTTTAACGAAGATATAGTAAGCTTTTCTCTTCTTTAGAAAACATGAGCATTCGTCTAGAGAAAGAATAGAGAAAAAAGAACTCTTTCCAATAATAGGTTTTCTCTCTTTTCTTTTTTTTCTTCTTCTTCTCTTTTCAATGCACTACAGTAATGCTCTTTTCTCGTAACATACACCAACAAGTTCCTAGTCTAGTTTAAAAGAACATTTTATCTTTTCTTAATTTATCTATTTCAAATCGAAAAATAAAATAAATTCACCATCAAAATCTCATCTCTACATTTTATTTTTTTGTACTTAACATATCAAAATAGACTTTAGTAAATAGTACTTTTAAATTTTCTGGTCGAATAAATTTCTTTATATTTAATATAATTAAATGTTTGTTGAATACTCTTATTAATCATTCTCAATTCATTTTTCTATGCTAGTTATATGTAAATAAATCGTTAATGATATTTATGAAATAGACGCCTACTTATTGTTTCCTTTACCGGACATAGAATTCATTGATTCATTCTTATTTACAATGAGTATTTTATCTTTGATAAAAAAATAAAGAAAACCCTTTTATCATGTGTAAAAATTATATTAATGATAATTATAAAAGAATAATATCAAATTCTTTTTTTATAGGATAAGACATGATATAGAAAGATTCTTTTTAAATAACATGTCATTATAACTTTCCTCCTGTCTAAAAACAAAGTTTTCTAAATATAAAATGTCATTTCCCATTTTTCAATACGACTCCGTATTTGTATACTCGAAATAATACATTGAGCATTATTCTTTTATGAAACTATTCTATAAACGGATATTAATCGGTGATTGAAATAAACCGTTCATTTGACTAAATTATTTTTAATCTAAGAAGTTAATTATTCAGTCATATAAATATAAAGGTATTAACAATAAGATCTTTTATTAATTGTATTAACTATACTTTTCTTTTCTTAATGATCTTTTGCATTTGACATCTTTACGTTACGAAATTCTTTTTCTTTTTATGTACTATTAAAGAAAGGAGTACTTCAAAAAGCGGAAACATATTTCAAATGATAGAAAAAATATGTCAAATATTGGCTTCTGGTTTTTATTTGAAGTTACGGTTTAGTTAAAGAAATCTATTTAGGCAATATGCATTATTTGTATTTCTATTTAAGTATTAATTGAATATGACAAAGTTTCATGTTATTCATTATTTTACAAAAAAAAAATGAAGTCAAATATTAAACTGTATCTGATCTGCTTAATATTACAAAATCATATTCATGAGAAAGTATTTACAAGTTTTACGTAGATCATTTTTTTCTATTGATGCTTAAAGAAATATGCACCATTCTTTCGAACCTCAAGAATGTTCACACGAAGTCTGATTATTAATTAAAAGAAGCAATGGGGTCAAAAAGTTTATTCTAAAACTTGTTACCTTATAGATTAATGTTATTCTTATATATGACTTAAAGTGTTTACAGTGCAAAAGCATGTCTGTACCATATATAACACTAAAAGAACAGCGAAGAGGTGCATTGTCTGGCTTAACATATATTAATTATTATAATCCTATGAAATATCAGATTAAATCTAGAATTATAGCTAATCGTATCTAGAAATAAGAAAAACAATCTGTCTCATTTTAAATTAATGAAAAATGACAAAAAAACAATACTAATAACTATCATGGTTTATGATTCAAACTGACAACAAATAATAATATTATATAGTATGTAAAACATACAAGTTTACTGCGAATGAGATCTTAATTATACTATGAATCATGCAACACTTATGTTGGTTGGATGCTCAGTCACGTACTCTTTCCATATGATAAAGTACTATGCATATTATTTACATGAATCATTGTATGAACTTTTACAATATCATGACAGGTCGTATTTGCCTCGTTTATTATCATGTATACGTGCTATCTTAACTGCATTAAGTACATATGACTATTCGACTTACTGATTAATAATTCAATTGATAACACTCTTTTTTCATTTTACGAAGTTAATAACTAGAAAAATCGAAGTACCCATATACGGGATTTCCGAAACGTCTGTGAGGAAATTAAATTCTTTTACAGTGATAGGTATCAATGCGAAGTTCTTATTAATCATAAATACTGTTCACAATTATTATTCTGAACTGAAATATAAGAATCGATCATTTTTTTATTGCAAAAAAGAAGCATTACCTAATAGTTCTTTGTTACTCCTTTAATTTCGATGTTTAGATCGATCAGATCTTACGTTATCGTTTCCGTGCATTTATTTCAATATGTCACTACAGAAAGAAGCCTAATGGTGTCAATTCTAGAGCTCATATGATCGATTGTCCCCTCTCAGTTCATCAGTGATTGTGTGGAAACAAAGTGATTTCATAAGCTTCCTGATCACTGGACTTGACGCCGTTGGACTTCTTTTTGTAGTAACATATTGAAGTAAATGCACGGAAACGATAGCGTAAGATCTGATCGACCTAAATACCGACATTGAAGCATTAACAAAGAACTATTAGGTAGTGTTTCTTTTCTGTAACAAAAAAATGGTTGATATTTATATTTCAGTTATAAACAATCATTGTGAACTAGATTTGTTAAGTTTGTCCATATCAGTAAACAGTGGAATTAAAAGAATCTACTTTCCTTATGAACTTTTGAGACATCCTGCATATATATTCTAGTTATTGTCGAAAATGATAAAATATCTGTAATGTATCAATCGCTTAAATGAATTCGATTTCTTTAGAAAATTCAAAACAATGGTTTTGAAAGATCTTTTGATTTAAAGAATACAGTGATGATAAATGCAATATTTTATGACGCAAATAATTTCTTAATATAATTAATTGATAATATGAAATTATTAATAATTAAGAAGAATATCTAAGAAATTTAAATTCTATAGATATTTCTTCATTCTCAAATATAGTAGTTACTATATAATGATGTCTTAATTACTAAAGTTAGATTTTAAAGTATCTCTTGACAGTCAATAGTACGGACATGTCTAGAAAAATTAAAAGAAACTTGTACTCAAATCTAGTAACGCATGTCAAAAAAACATCAATAAAGATTTTGCCATACTATCAATCCTAGCGCAATTCAACTAATAAAATGTCTTATATAAATAATCATATTTACATGATTTTATTTGCGTAATAAAACTCTAGAAATTCGCCAGACGTAGCCTGTGCTGATAATAAATATTGATAATTTCTTTCGAAAATATTAGTAAACTGTATCTTCTGACCATCTGATAATGGTATAATTATCAACCATTACATACGTTTTTAGATTTTTCAATGGCATCGCTATATTCGTGTCGTCTATCAAAATTTTCTCAAACGACCTACTTGCTTTTAAAAAATATAATGAACAATGCTATATTTTAAAATATCTGACCGTTTTATATCACTAAATAATTCTATTATTTATAATGTTCTCGTCGTTGGAGAAAATCATAAATTAAATGACATTAATTTGATAAGTCCGCAAAACAGAATGTCACTCATTATTTTTCTCGTTTTCTTTTTTATTCATATTTTATATTGGAATAGTTTTACAATTAGTTATTTATAGTTTCTTTCGTAGACTTAATTCATTGAAAGATAATTTTAAATGACTTAGATTAATATTTCATATCATTTTAAAATCTATTTTTACTAGTTATTATTATTTTATTCAATAATTTAAAAGTAGTCAGAGAAGTAGTCTTGAAATATTATTCATATAACAAAATCACGACCATTTAGCGCTAGTATATATTAAACTGTAATCTCGGAAACAGGAAATTATTGAAATGATGACTGTTCAATACGGGCAATTATTAGACAGTAATCTAAGTGACAGGAAATTACCGACATTATTTCATGATTGTACTAAATGTCCTCACCGATTGTTATTATATTAGGAAGAAATAATCAAAATCTGTTTAGTACAAAGTACTAAGAGTGCATTCACTATAGAACGAGAGAGGCATAAAGAATGGTCTCATTTTCTCATCATTAACTTTTGCTTGATTAAAAACATCAAAATATCCCAAAAGGTGTACCCTGAAAAGCTCTACAATTTATAATAGATTCCATTTTTTTTATTACACATTTTCTTCTGAAATTGACGAAATTTTAACGGTTCGAGAACATATCTTTTTAGTATATGACAACGTACTGTTTCTTTTTATTTCATGTTTTTAATATGTAAATGTAGTTATCATCATACTGAAGTGAAATCTTTCCACAGTTGTCTAGACAGATGTTCTAAGAAGATCTTGATGAGTTCTATCCAATGCTGTAATCAGGTTTTCTATAACTCATATTACGGACACGTTTTACTCAAGTATAGTGCTAACTTCGCCTACGTATTAAAAATATGAAATTAAAAAAAAACAATAGTTTGTCGTATACTAGAAAAATGTTTTCGAAATATTGAAGTTTCTTCTATTTCCGAAACAAAATGTGTAATAATAAAAAAAACACGGTCTATCGTTAATTGTAGAGCTATGTAGGATACAACTTTTGATATATTTTGATCTCTTTTAACCAAGTAAATTTAATGATGCAAAAATGAGGCCATTCTTTATGCCTCACCTATTCTATAGTCAATGCACTCTTAGAAC